AGCTCCTCTTTAGAACATAGTTTGACATGAGGGTGCATTTGACAATCATTAAACAGTCGGATGGATCCACTGTATCCAAATGATCCACATCATTCTGCGTGGCTACACTGACTTTGTTGTTATTTATAACTCTGCAAGTTCTTGTGGTAACCACAGGTTTTTGTTAGTGTTTTAGTTTTATTTCTAGATCTTTGTTTAAAAATACATATGCCCATGAAGGGTGCCTGGTAGGTGCTCCCATACGGTAATGAATCCCCACTGATGGGGACGGGGATGAAGGATCAGTCCTTAATCCCAGTTAACATGTGCTCTGTTAGCACGAGATTGTTTGGTGTTTTCTTTGATGGGTTACCAACTATGCACGGTGTATGTAGTGCTTGATTTGTGATGCTGAGGGTTTTTACATGATCCTGGGCTGTGTGCTTGTGAACACAAGCGTAGTGATGACTGCTACCCGAACCGTGAATAACACAAAATCAGAATATATGAAGGCTGGGTGCTAGCTAGCTTTCAGATTAAAAAAATTGCTTTTAAATTAACAACTTCTATAAAGTTTTAATGTTTTAGTTCTCTTCAATTGTTTTTTTTAGTAGTCCTCAAGTAGATAGAAATTTTTTGGGGGTATATATTAAATAAAATACAATCTTTCTTAAGGAATGAGGCATTAAACAAGCACAACTCATGTATTCAATGTGTTGATTGCGCATATATAATCCTTTAGACATAAACCGTTGACCAAGTCTGGGACTAGGATTGGATCCAGCCTCACCTGGACTCCTCTCTGAGGGAGTTTAGAAAGCAAGGGGATCTTTTCTGAACCTCATGACTCAATGGGAGGTTCTCCCTGACAGTCTTTTCTGACCCTGTCCTCTGTGCAGTAAATAGCAAAGTGTACCTCGCCATTGAATCTCATAAACTATTGTCGCATTTAACACTGAACTTTGTTAACTCACTGTTTTACTCCAATAAGCCACATTATTTTTGCCTCCCTCTCACTCCATCCGCAGGAAGAGGATACCATCCACTGAATTTCATTCCTGAAATGAGATCCAATAGTATCTATGTCATATGTTGTCATGGTATCGAGCTATTATTATTCTGCTGGAGATCCTTCTGATTATCTCGTAAGGGAAATTAAATCAATGTAAAGAATGCATTCTGCCTATGTGTCCTGGTTTCGGCTGGGATAGAGCTAATTTTCTTCACAGTAGCTAGCATAGTGCTGTGTTTTGGATTTAGTACCAGAAGAATGTTGATAACACACTGATGTTTTCAGCTGTTGCCAAGTAGTGCTCAGACTACTCAAGGACTTTTTGAGCTTCTCCTGCTCGGCCAGGTGCATAACAAGCTGGGAGGGAGCACCGCTAGCACAGCCACACCACACAGCTTTCACAGCTCTTAAAAAAAGGAAAATCTTTTCAGATCAAGGTAAATGTAGAGAGGCAAATGCAAACAGGGAAAACTGAACTATTGTTCTTAATATTGCTCTCTTCTCTAAGTGAAATCTCTGTTTTCACATACTGTCATTCTGGAAAATAGGTTTTATAAGTACTTTATGTTTCAAAACTAATTCAAAATATGTTCTCATTTATACTGCATAGAGACAGTCAAAGCATTTTGTCCTGTGTAGCATCTTATTTGTTGCCCAGAGAGGTTGTGGAATCTCCAACCTTGCAAATACTCAAGCCACCTGGACCTGGTCTTGGGCAACCTGCTCTAGGGGACTCTCCTTGCGTTGGGGAAGGGTTGGATGAATGACCTCCAGAGGTCCCCATCAACCTCAGCCATTCTGTGATTTTGTGAATTTAGTCTCCAGTATTCAGTGCATTTTGGTAGGGGCTTGTATCTCTGTGTTACTTAAACTCAAATGTAAAAATATTTAAGCAGTCCAGATTTTAAGGCTCTTACTTCAGTCCTCTAACTGTATTTTGGCCATTGTCCGCATTCCCTGATGTTTTTTTCAGCTACCTTTAAGGTTTTGGGGCTTGTAAGTGACTCTTACTGCAGACCCTCAATGCAACATCCAAAAATAAGAAACACTTTAATGTTTTTATATCCCTCGATATGTGAGCCAGAGCCATGCTGGGAGTTAACATTGTTTATCAGCTATAATCCTGAGAGCCTTTTCTAATCTCTACTGCCCTCTGAGATAGACTCCTCTTTATGACATAGTTTGACATGAGGCTGCATTTGACAATCATTAAACAGTCGGATGGATCCACTGTATCCAAATGATCCACATCATTCTGCGTGGCTACACTGACTTTGTTGTTATTTATAACTCTGCAAGTTCTTGTGGTAACCACAGGTTTTTGTTAGTGTTTTAGTTTTATTTCTAGATCTTTGTTTAAAAATACATATGCCCATGAAGGGTGCCTGGTAGGTGCTCCCATACGGTAATGAATCCCCACTGATGGGGACGGGGATGAAGGATCAGTCCTTAATCCCAGTTAACATGTGCTCTGTTAGCACGAGATTGTTTGGTGTTTTCTTTGATGGGTTACCAACTATGCACGGTGTATGTAGTGCTTGATTTGTGATGCTGAGGGTTTTTACATGATCCTGGGCTGTGTGCTTGTGAACACAAGCGTAGTGATGACTGCTACCCGAACCGTGAATAACACAAAATCAGAATATATGAAGGCTGGGTGCTAGCTAGCTTTCAGATTAAAAAAATTGCTTTTAAATTAACAACTTCTATAAAGTTTTAATGTTTTAGTTCTCTTCAATTGTTTTTTTTAGTAGTCCTCAAGTAGATAGAAATTTTTTGGGGGTATATATTAAATAAAATACAATCTTTCTTAAGGAATGAGGCATTAAACAAGCACAACTCATGTATTCAATGTGTTGGCTATGTTTAAGTACTGAGGCAGACTCTGGTGAAACCACTCTACCTTTTTTTTTTTTTCCCTAAGAGCATTGCGTCCAAGTAGATGCTCCACTTAACATAATTTTTTGAACTTTTCCTCCCACTCCACAGAGATTCATCCAAATTTGTATCATGTATCATATCGTATCATTTTTTTCCTCTACAACCTCTGCCTAATGCATTTCTTCCTCACTAATATGAATCAGAGGTTCAGAAGGCATAAATTAAATAAGAGGTGTTTGAGGTTCTGCATAACCATATTCAGATGCTAGTGGGTCAGTATTAAATCTGTATTCTGCACCTGGACTATACTTACAAAGGCAGCACATGTTTCATTTCAGCAGGCATAGTAAATGCTCTCTGGAACAAATAGCTCTTAAAACACATTTTTGGTAATATCTTTCACATCATTTCATGAGGCATGTGAGACACTTTGGAAGAAAAGATTAGCAATTTGCAGCGCGACGGTGATTTGGGGAACCACAATTCAGGTAATAGATGACAAATGGTGTGAAGAAAGATAGCTGGATAACCTGTGCTTAAAATTTTGTAAAAGGACGTAATTGATTACTGTTGTATAATGCTCATTTCCAAAACTGCAGTCTGTGGAGACCTGCTATAGCATTTGCCTACACCCTTCTATTATTTCAGTATGACGGCAGATCTCCTTGTCTCTATGTTTGTATCGGTGCACAATTTGGCAACGGAGTGATCTCCTGAATGAAGTTTGCTGTAAAATACTGGTCAACCACAACTGATGTCTTCTTCCAAAAATCATTCTGTGGTTACGAGAAGTAAAGTAGTGCTTTCAACTAGCTCTGTCTGGCACGGTATCCTGGCTTTGATAATGATAAATAGTGGATGTCTGAAGGGAGAGCACAAGAAATGCGTATAGAGAGTTGTCCTCCTTCAGACTCCCCACCTTTCTGCCAACATCTGTGAGCAGGAGGCTGCATCACATTTAATAGTCCTCTATGGTCCTATCCTTCATGGATTTATCTAATCTTCTTTCTAATCTGTCTACATTCTTGGCATTTCCTACATCCTGTGACATTGAGTTCTGCAGTTTTATGATAGAACATGGGATTTAGTAACATGCTGAACGTTTCAGCAAATACAACAAGAATAGACAATTCGCTTACTACGTCTTCCTTATGGTTTCATCTCCTTTCACAAGGTAGTTCTGCTCTCTTGTTCTTTGTCCTCAGTCCCTGTAATTTTGGAATTTTATAACAGCTCTAGATACAGGGTTACAAAGACTGTGCTGCGTCATTCTGGATCCTGTATCACACGGCAGTAAGTCCCATTACTGCAGTAATAATTCTTTACCATCCTCTTGGTTATTCAGAATACGGGGAGGGACAGCAGAATAGCCGTATAGGAATGAAACAAACACTGCAGGCGTATAAGAACAATGTGAACTTCACAGGAAGGCTTCAGTTTCTCATTTAACAAAGTAATTTGACATAGAAATGCATGGTGTTCAGATGAATGTTGAAATTACTTGTTCTGTTGTGTGATGTCCTTACCTCACATGGATAAGTGCTGTGTACTTGTATTCTTCTTCCACATCTAATATACACAGCAAATACCAGCAAACAATTAATTCTGACTATGACCAATTCACCTTCCTGACTGAGGATTTGGCACGGTGGACTTGTATTTATGCCTAAAATCAGATTAATGGATTGCCACTTTAAAATCTGCCACTCCTCTTAAATTGAAATACTGTATTAGTTGGGCGAAGATTTTTTAGCTCCTGTGAGCCTGTTAGACAGGTTTATCATTGTGGCTCATTCAGGTGATGACTTGTATTCTTGGTGAGCAATGCCATAGCCAGGGTTTGTCTCTGCAGGGCCTGAGGCACTGGGGGATCTCTCACCGAGGGCTGCTGATGGTGGCTCTCTTTTTGTCCTCTGACTGAACACTGCCAATTTAGCATAAAGGTTTGCAGTGGTAGTGTTTCTTGCGCTAGGAATTTGTGTAGATTAACAGGCAGTAGAAGCATGTGTCAAGACAATATCCTTGAGTTAAAATGCTTTCTCTTATCATCGTTCTCCCTCATACTCTTCTTGCTCTTGCGGTTGTTTACCAGCATCGAGAGGTCAAACAAAGGTGTTTCCAGGCATTGTTAATTTATACTGTAATTGAAATAACCTTTTTAGTCTATACCAAAAACCAGCCAAGGGTCACTTACACTGAGAACTGCTGGAAATTTCTCGCCTGACCTCAACAATTGCTCGTTTTTTGCAGCCTCTCAGTGGATTATCCCCATGTTTGCTTTCTCAGAGAATTAAAGCTCTTAATGTTTTTGAACAGTACTTAAGTATGAGGCTGGAGGAGGGATAAGGAAAGGGTGTAAGGTATTTATCTTTAAAAGTTTGTGTGACTGGCATACAAAAAACCTGCAAGAGCTGAATGTCTACACCTTGGAAAGCAATAGGAACTGGTGGCAAATCATTGTTCTCGGGCTCAAAGGACACAGAAGAGGATGATGAACAGGTTCAACATCCCAGAAAAAATCTTTACCAATCGGTACCAAAACATGCATTTCTTTCTTTTCCCTTCTAAGCTTTGAGATGAACGTGCCATAATAAGGAGCAATCCTGTCTAACCAGAAGAATTTTCCATTGCTGCATTTTGGGATTCGTGCTGAACTGTGTTTCCATTGTCCGGATGCTTTTGCTTTTTTTAGTTGAGAATTGTCAAGGCTGACCAGAACAAATGAGACATAACTCTGTACCAAGGCACAAGACTCCTTCTTAGCATCATGTCCTGTCTTTCACAGAGGTTCCCTCTCTGCCTTTGCCAGTTACTTTTGCCCAAGATAATCCAAGAGCCCTTTTAAAAAACCATATGTGAAGCTCTTGTCTTATATTGCTTGTTGTTCACAAAGTATGTCTGTCACTAAATGATGGTTATCCTGAAAAATGGTGACTGAGAAATGGCTGGAGAAAACAGAAAGCAAGTCTGGTAATGTGGCTGAGGTCCATTAGCAAGGGTCCATATATCTTCAGTCAAGATAAACAAATTCTGCTTTTCAGTGCACAGCTTAGAAAGACAAAAATTGTTGTGATAGGATTTTTATTTATTGTCTTAAAATAATTATTACACACTCCATCTGAAACATCCTTTCGGTTTAAAAGCAAAAAAACAGTGCACGTAATTGATTGATCTGGGTAATGCTTAGGTAATGTTTGTGGGTATCAATGTGTGTCAGAGGAAATTTAGATTTAGAAAGGCAGAATAAGCAACTCTTTATTGCACTTAAATCTGTTCTGAAGCTTTTGTTCAACATTTTCTCTCTGTCATTTCTGTACTTTGAAAGTCATGGTAGTTCTTCAGACAGATAGGATGTTAAGATACAGTAACATTGTGGAATGATCCTACAATGAAAAGTCATTATAATACACATGTATAACCATGTCAGTTGCCAACATGAAGTCTTAAAAGCCAGATGAACAGTATCAGTCTTCTAAAATGTGACTCTTCACTCTCTTCAGTGTGAGGATATGGTCTGTCTGTCTTAGTGTAGGTGAAAGTGCTTTTGACTCCAGCTGGAGTAAGAAAGTATTTTGTGGTAGTCTGTGGAAGGGTGCTCTAATGTGTGGGCTACCTTTCAACATGCATATTCCTGGAACTTAAAAATATTGAAATAAATTTTATTTAAAATTTAAAAGAAAAATGTTATTGAAGCTCAACATAAATTTTAGTTTTCATGCAGCTTTTTATGTAGATAGGAAAAACTTCTTCACTGAAAGGGTTGTCAGGCTCTGAAATGGGCTGCCCAGGGAGGTGGTAGAGTCCCCATCCTTGGAGGTATTTAAAAGAAGGATAGATGAGGTGCTTAGGGACATGGTTTAGTGGTGGGATGTCAGGGTTAGGTTAAAGGTTGGACTCGATGATCTCAAAGGTCTTTTCCAACCAAAGTGATTCTATGATTCTATGATGTTCTCAAGCTGTGAATGTGAGTGGCCAAAAAATATGAGGGCAAACCATGAGAATTCTGGCATACCTACTAGTTTGGGTATAATTTCCATATTTATGGGACAAAGGTTGAGCGAGTTACCTCTGTATAGAGTGTTTACTTGATTTTAAAAAATAAGTTTTTGATGCAGTAATGTTGGGGGACCTCTTACATTACTATAAACTGTAGCCTTTAGAAATGCTACTAGGAACTTGCATTGCAGGTCTTCAATGTGGGTTTTATACTGTCAGCTGGCTTGTGAGTTTTCTTTTATTGACAGCATAGTACATACCATTCTGTGGTTGCAAGGAGGCTCGGCTGTTTCCTGCAGGTGGTCAGAAGCAAAAAGTTAGAAGTCTTGCTCTTTCCAGCCACTACCAAGCATAACTTCAATCAGCATACACTGTTGGATTGTAATTGCAGTAGATTATAATTTTTTGCTCTAATTGAAGTAGAGTGTTTGCGGGCATGAAGAGTAAGCCAGAGAGGCTGGATTTAACATTCTGTTAGAAAGGAAAAGGAGGATTTTGTGATATGTGTAAAAAAACAAGCAGCCATATGTAGCCTTTAATTGTTCAAATAATAAGCATTTTATTTTAGAGGATTAAAATAATAAAAAATCTGCTATGTTATCTTTAAAGGCTAATAAAAACAAATACTTATTCAAGAGAAGAAGTCATAACCTTAAAGTGCGGTTACTTTTCCTTACTATAATGTGGTTTCTGCCTTAGGACTTGTTCTAATTCAGACCTCATTGGGAAGATCCTTGAAGATTCTTGATGCATCATGAATCTCACAGTTTCAAAGTTGGGATATTTATAGCTGTTTTGAGTTGCAAATGGCGTTTTATGTTCAAGCAGGAAGGGCAACTTCTGCCGTTTAGAAAAAAATAGTAATAAAAGTACACTTCATAGTCTTTCAATTCCTAAAATGTTGTAATTGCATACATTTGTGTACCTGTCAATATTTTGCTTCTGTCCTTTTCTCTTGCTAAGGCAGTGTTGGTCTGATGAGTAAGAAGACCATTAATAGTGTGCACTTCTGCCTTGTATCTGATCTCTATGCAGTTATTCATAAGACCCTTTCTGTTCCTTGCTTCTCTGCTTTAGTGTGAACAATCCCACCTAATGAGAGAGCACGAAGACGTGCAGGAACGAACAACACTTCGCTACGAGGAAAGAATCACAGAGCTGCACAGTATCATTGCTGAATTAAATAAGAAAATTGATCGACTACAGGGAACAACAATAAGGTACAGCAACTTCCTGGAAATTCTGGCCCAATGCAAGAATGGTGCAAAACATGGCATGAATTATACTCTTAAATATAATTCTATGATGACTTTAAGGTAGCTAGGCTTGTTATGGCTGGTGCTGAGTAGCTGCCCGTAATGGAGGTACGTGTTCTGCAGCATATCATCCCAGGGCTCAAAAGTGCTACATTCTCTGGCAAAATCACACTTTGCAAAGCCTAATGAGCACTGCAAAGAACTGCACTGTACCATCTTAAGTATTCCTTTAGCATAACGTACATGCCAGGGTACCAGATAAGTGATAGCAATGGTGGAAAAAGGAAGGTGTAGCTACCTAGCCTGCACTTCTGCTTTTAACTTCATTTTGTGGCATCCTGTAGATCACCTAAACCAAATCACTTGTTGTGAGAAATATGGCTGAAATGGATTTCAGTAGGTTTTGCATCTACTTGTACTGGTATTTGTGACAAAACACACGGTACAAATCACGTTGTTGCCTGTCCTTGAAGCAGCAAAGCTTGGGGTATTACAGAAGGTCATTACCTGTTACTGTGTTAAAATAAACTTTACTTCTGACAACAGGAAAACACTTTGTTTTTCCTTACTTGTTTTACCCATGTTCTCAACCTGGAGAAAGTTGGACTAGGACAAGGAAGGAGCTTCTTAAAGTTTAGCTTGCAAGGGTGCAACTGAACTACTAGAAACTATGGATTTGCTAGTGAACATCAAATTAGATTTGATACTTTTGTAGGTAATATTGACATGGGCCTCTACCCATGTAGCCCACTTTCAGTTTGCCTTGCTTATTAGCTCCAAGTTTTTTTGATAACTGCTTCGTTTGTTCTTCCGTGTAAACGTTTCTACTACCACAAGTTGTTACAACAATGCTGTTACAACTACTCACTTAACCTTTCACAAAAATACTTATATACAAAAAGGTTTAGTGCACCATAAATAAGAGAAAGTATCATCACACATTTATACCACTATAAAAGCAGTGATAGAACTACATTATGTTAATGTTATTTAAGAAGATAAATTCTGCCGACTCTTGAGATAATCATAACTAGAGATGATAGTGGTGAGATTTTTCAGGTAAATATTTTCCAAACTGATAGTGCTTCTCTGAAAAAATCCCTGTGACTCCCTTGTTCATTCATGCTTGAAACCTTTGCAGACAAACTTCCCATTCATCTTGTTTCGAATCACCTTTCTTTTCAGCATGACACTGGCTTCCCATCCCGCCCTCCTCTCCGGTAAAGCTCTACCAATTGAAAAGACCGATTGAAAAGCAAAATCTGAGAAGCATGAGAGCTGCATTGATTTTTTTTTTTTTTTTTTTCTTGAATGGCAGAAGAACTCTGTGACATTTAAGAAAAATATTACATAGAATCCATAAAAATTGTTTGCTTGGAGTCCCTGTGGCAAGCTAAATGCCAAGTGGTGTTCAGTTACAAAATACTGGAATCGGGTGAATACCGTGAATGTTTAACCATGTCCATAAGCAAGTCAGCTGTGGCATGCACGGAGAGGTGAGACATAAGAACTGAGCTTGATGGGAAGTGCATGCTGCTTCTTGTGAAAAGTGTGTTTTTGCTGCTTCTTTGGGGGGGGGTGCGGGCTTCTGAAGGTATCAGAGCAATACTGCTGCAACAGGTGCTGCACCGCTGTCATGCCCCATCTGTTTGGTCTGATCGTATGAGAGCTCGTTTTGCTCAGGCAGCTGGGATGCCTCCTCTGTTTTTGTTTGTTCTGGTTTTACTAGTAAGAACAAAAATGTTTATTAAGTTAGTGCATTTTTTTTATTTCCTTTAATGATTGGAATAGCCTGTTTTCTTTGTCAGGCCAATAATTTGGTGTCTGGGGAGCAGAGGAGTAATGTTCCTCCTAAAAATGTCAAGCAGAGGTAGAATTGGAGGGATTCCATAGCATTTGTAAGGACAACTGAAAGAAGAAAAACTGATCCTGCCTGCTGTGACTTTCTGTAAATGCTCTCTGGGATCTACTGGCGTCACGCTTCAGAAGCTGTTGCATCCCACAGAGCAAGGGTGGTGCAACTGCTGTCCTTGCTGGGACAGGTGTGACTCACAGCACTCCACCCTTGGCTGTGGGGACTGCGGGCCTGGGAGCTGGAATAAAACCGTCCGGAGGGAAAGGGTTCCGGGAGCATAGCCCTGCTATGGCCTCTCCATTTATGCTTTCCCCTAAACCAGAACACAGGAGGGATTTTAGTTTTGGTTTGACTCTTGGGTACCTGCAAGTAATACTGAGTGGAGGCTTTACTTGTGCTATCACAAAATTTAGGCCGTCTTTCTGGAAAGAGTTTTCTCGAGTTTACGTTAATTGCATGACAGATAAATGTTTCCCAGTGCTGACACAGAGATTTTTCAGTATTTTCATGTATCATTTTTAGCCTTTCAAAATAAACAGACATGTAGCTTGATGCACTGCTGCTTTATAACATTCTTCATGGCTCTTTTCCAAAACCCAAAAATATTCTGGAAACAATTAGAAGAAACCAGAGTTTCAAGGAGGGTATTTGACTATCCTCCTCAAGCTCTATTATCTTTAAATTTGCAGCTCTTTGTTTGCATGTGAGTAATACCCTCAGAAAGTAAGCAGAAAGAGCGTTTAAATCTGAATAAGGTATTGCAACAGTTTGAGGGGTTTTGGCAGGCTGTATAAGCTAGTTAATATTCTCCATTCCGAGAATTTTTCTCTCTTCGTTTTTTGGTCAGTTGTTTTTTGTTTTTTTTTTCCCTTTCAATGTCAAGGGTTTTACAGAGTTTGAAGTGTAATGGCTTTTTCTCATGTGGTTTAGTAATGCCAGCTCTAGAAGAGAGCTTAAGTCACACATCAATGCATGTGCCCCTTCCCAGGTATATCTGATATGCTGATCTTGGTAATCTTACAGGAGTATTTTTAGAAGTTTCAAGAATTGTTCTAGGTTTGCTAGCCATTTCTTGGGTACAAGTTCCATGTGTGTGGCCACATGAAGTTAGCTCCTGCTCTTGCACTATGTTGTTCCAGCATTCCCTGAGGAAAATGAGGTCACCCTGGTTGTGGGAGCAAGCCAACATTCATCTGCAATTGTCTCATCTCCCTGCTGCTGCTCTGGACATCCCAGCTGGTTTGGAAGCCCAACCTCACCAAAAAAAAAGCTGAAATACAGCTGTAACTGATCTGATATTAAGGCTAAAAAGAGAGTTGCTTATACTCAAACTGTGCAAGTAGATGAACCTCTTGCTTGCCCAGTTCTTTTATATGTGACGGTGCAGAATTTACCCACTACCAGCTCAAGAAGGTAGCAATTTGGAAGCAAAAAGACACTAAAGAAGTGGCCCACTAGGATAAGGGTGCTTTTTTTATTTGAACAGGCTGGAGGTGTAAACCTTGGCTCTGTCTTTTCTTGGAGAACTATAATTTTGTGACAGTGTCTTACTGTTCTTATCTACATTATTGGGGAGAGAGTGGGAGAAGGTGGCTAGTATTTTGCTTAAGTTCATTGTAAAACTCAAGCCACAGGCTTTCGTCAAACTCTGCAAGACTTTTGGGCAGAAAAACCTATGATGACTGTGCAGAGCATGTGTTGTCAGCTTCTTTAAGAGTGGACAGGTTTCACTGAGTGGTACTAACTTGGGACTCCTGTTAGCATGTCAAATGGATACCAGTGGAAGTGTTACCCCTGCTTTTGTTGTTTCAATTTGTAGCAGACAAATTTTTTGCACTGCAAAGGTTCTCTGTCTTTTGACAAGGTGTATGCCTACTCCCACTTTCTCTCCAAGTGTGTATGACTTAAAGACAGCAAAGCCAATCACATGGATCTTACCAATTGTAGTCATATTTTAAATACTTGGACAGCAAGAATACACCTCATAACCCTGAAGCACAGAAAGGATTTACAAATTACACAGTAGTGTACTAAAAGGGAATTATGTCTGTGTTACAGGTGGATGTTCCTAACTTCAGAAGCTTTTAGTATTGCCTTAGATTCCTTCAAACTCAACTCTTTTTTTCTTAATCATGTCTTTGGCTGGCAAAATCTTGGTTTTGCAGAAACAACTTCGGCCTATGACTTGAGGGTCTTTCTTAGATGGAGGTTCAGCAAAAAGAAAAAGGAAGAGATCAGATTGCTTTTAATTCTAAACCAGTGGCTGTTCAGGTACACCTGTGCAACTCTAAAAATCATATGCAACTTTAACAATACCATGCAGAAGTATACTCCGTTGAATATTGGTGCGTGCTAAGGATTATTTGAAACTTTGTCAAGAAGCTTGTAACCCACTGCTATAACACTACTTAGAACCATAGAATCATAGAATTGTTTAGGTTGGAAAAGACCTTTAAGATCATCAAGTCCAACTGTTAACCTAACCCTGCCATCCCACCACTAAACCATGTCCTGAAGCACCTCGTCTGCCTGTCTTTTAAATACCTCCAGGATTGGGGACTCCATCACTTTCCTGGGCAGCCCATTGCAAAGCTTGGCAACCATTTCTGTGAAGAAATTTTTCCTAATGTCCAACCTAAACCTGCCCTGGCACAACCTGAGGCCATTTCCCCTCATCCTATTCCCTGTTACCTGGGAGAAGAGACCAACACCCACCTGACTACACCCTCCTGTCAGGCAGTTGTAGAGGGCGATAAGGTCTCCCCTCAGCCTCCTCTTCTCCAGGCTGAACAGCCCCAGTTCCCTCAGCTGCTCCTCCTAAGACTTGTGCTCCAGACTCCTCACCAGCTTTGTTGCTCTCCTCTGGACATGTTCCAGCAAGGCAACATCTTTCCTGTAGTGAGGGGCCCAAAACTGAACACAGTATTTGAGGTGCAGCCTCACCAGTGCTGAGTACAGGGGCACGATCACTTCCCTGCTTCTGCTGGCCACACCGTTCCTGATACAAACCAGGATGCTAGCTGTCAACCAGTACCCCCAGGTCTTTTTCTGGCAGGCAGCTTTCCAGCCACTCATCCCCACGCCTGTAGCGTTGCATGGGGTTGTTGTGACCCAAGTGCAGGACCCGGCACTTGGCCTTGTTGAACCTCATACAGTTGGCTTTGGCCCATTGATCCAGCCTGTCCAGGTCCCTCTGCAGAGCCCTCTTCCCCTCGAGCAGATCAACACTGCCACCCAGTTTGGTGTCATCTGCAAACTTACTGAGGGTGCACTCGATCCCCTCGTCCAGGTTGTTGATAAAGATATTAAACAAGACTGGCTCCAGAACTGAACCCTGGGGGACACTGCTTGTAACCGGTTGCCAACTGGATTTAACTCCGTTGACCACAACGGAGCCGCCATGAGCCGGTCTAAGCCATGAGCTGCCAGCTTCTCTAGGAGAATGTTGTGGGAATTTGTTCAGACTTACAGCTTTCAATCTGAAATATATTCAGGATGTAGATTGTGCTGGAGTTAATGAGGAAGAAGGAGAATGAATAGGCTACCTCATCACAAGAAATAACACATGGCATTTATAGTCATATTTATACAATGACTGGAGGTCTGATTCTAGCTTTTAAATATGTGCTAGGTGGAAGCTATCTGGAGTCAATTCAAATGGTAGCGTGGGTGTAATGGCATTGGCTTCAGCACAGAATGCCCAGCCCCACCTGCCTTCAGTGATTAATTCCCATGTTGTCTCAAGTGTGTCGCTATTTGTTCACAAGCGAACTACTTCAGAGGGACCTCAAGTGTGTATACACAGGGAGCAATCTCTGGGTTGCAGTGCACATACACCTGTAGTATTTCCTATCTGAAGGTCTTAGAATGCTTTAAAAATACTTGTTGAAGTAAAATGAAAGTTGATAAACTGCTGGCACCTAAAATGTGAAACTATGCACTGCTTGCGGCTGGGAAGAGAATGTGCACCTTGCCAGCGTCCTGGCAGAACTCATCAGTGGTGTGAAAGGATGCTGAAAGCGTGCCATTTTGCTCACTATTTGATGAAGTTTTTCTTCGTGACTGTGCAGCAGTTGTGATCCTTGGTTGCACCCCAATGTGAGGCAAGCAATAAGTGCAGACATAGCTGTAAACCACACTTTTTTTCCTCCAGCATTGATTCCAGGGCACTCTGCGTTTGGAACAGCTTGATCTGATCTTAACTGCCTCTGACTCACCATGACATTCCAGCAACTGGGAACCACCAGGGCCCGTAGGAGAACCGACACCTGCTTTCTCCAGCCAGGCCCTGGGTGGTGGCAGCAACAGGGCAGTCATAATGCTTCCACCTTCTGTGTGGTGTGGCAGGAGTTCAGTGCCTCATCATCATCAGCTGTTGAGCGCCTTGCGTTTCCAAAGCCACTGGAGGGTCTTCTCCTGTTTTGGGAAAAGGGGTGTTTCAAATAGTATCTTCTGTTGCTACCAACTTCAGTTGTAAAGACAGAATTTATATTTGTGGTGCATCGCTCCCCTCAAATTCCCCCTTTGTGTTTTTAGCCTCTGTCTGCCCCATATGAGACTAGTGGTGGAGAGGCCGATTGACCTTGCTGTCACTTTACCAGAAATGGATTTCTGATCTTCCTGGTCAGGTCTTAGAAGCATTAGATCATTCAGAAAGTGACTTTTGGCTTGAGACATTGGAAGGGTGTCAGTCCTGCTGTGTGATGTACTTTTCACCTACCCCAAGATACTGAGGGTGCTTAAACTGAAGAAACAGGACTAGTGCTAGCTAGATGAAGCTAGAAAGCAGAAAATCTGTGAAACAAGAGCAGAAAGAAGAGTGGTGAGAAATCATTATTGTGTGTGGCATTGTTTTATTATCAATATGGCCTCATGTCCATTTGCAGAGGTAATGCAGGTTTTTAAAATGTAGGACTAATTGTTTCATAAATGAAAAAATGAGTTACCTTCAGATCAAAAAAATTGCAGCTGTTTGAGTGCTTGGTAATTGTTTTTGTCTAAAGCTAATTACTACTGGCTTGTGCTGTGGCTAATAATAAAACAAGTTCATGGAACATTAACTCACACTTATGTGTCTTCATTACACTGTTTTAATTCCTGCTATTCATGATTTAGTTCTCACACTTTCTTAAACATGTATTTTGTGGTACCTTAAAGACCTTTCTTTGATCTAAATCTCAATTTTAACCAGCTGACCTGCATTTTTGTTTAATAGTAGTCACTAAGTGCTTCTGATAAAGTCAGATGTTCTTTGCACTGAAGGAAACGTTAAGGGGTAGAAGAGCATAATAGTTCCTGTAGAAATTACATCTCAGTACCTTGGGAAACCCTGCTTGGTGAGCAAGCTGAAATTCCTTTTTTGAGTTGGCCTAGTTCATAAGTTGTCGCCTCTGCTACTTTGAGAACAGACTACTTCTGTCATTGTTCCCTGTATGTATGGGCCATCTTCTCTGCTATTTTGCCTGGCAAATGCAGACACTCCTCCAGGGTAAATCCTGCAGTATTTCTGCAAGAAGCAGTCATCACCATCCAGCGTACATACAGCATACTTAACATTACAGGTGCCCCTTCCAGATGCAGATCCCCAGATAGCTCTTTGCTATTTCTTATTGTTTCCAAATCCAGACAGTTCCATTCTCACACTTTTCTGCTGAATCTGCAGCAAAATGAATCTCTGTATTTATTTAGCATGTAACAAAATGATGTCTGTTTGCTTACTTATCAGAGTGGCTCTGCACCTGCATAAGCTGGTGTTTTTCTCATGTTTAAAATATATACTTTAATGTCAAAACAGTCACTATGGAAGTAAAAAAAAAAAGAAAAAGCTGAACCAGCAAGTGGATCAAAAGAAAAAATGTTTACAAATGTTCTCAAGCCATTATTCATTTACTTATCTTCTTTCCCAGTGCTTTGAACTCTTTGTGTGGAGACAGGAGGGAAAAGCCCTAATTTTTTAAGCTCATTAGCTTTAGCTAAAGTGTTCAGTGTCCTCAATTATTTTAGTAGAACCAGCTTGACAAATAAGTTAAAACCTAGGTGACTGAGGCTTTTTATTTTCCACTAACTCCAGCAGCTCAGTGCTGTGCTCACTTATCTGTTCTCTTCCTTTTGAGAAGAGAAAATTAAAAACCTACCTGTCCCCAATGGCATTTTGATACTCATACCCAGGTATGTGCATGTGCACGCTTGCTTTGCACACAAGCTGATGGCTTCCTTGAACTGAGAAAGAGACCAAAATTGATTATTGCTAATCCACTTTGGGATCAAAAGCCACTTGTGCTGATTAAGATTGTCAGCTGGGGAGTTATTGCAGAGCAGTGCATGTCCTTCCTGCACACATCCTTGCTTGCACTCAGTTCCACCCATTGTTTCCTTGTACAGTGGTCTGGAGTAATAATGAAATTGGGAATAAAGAAGTGGAAACAAGGCACTGGCTGCTGCAAGTACGTATTATGGGCATAGCACAGTGGCTTTGTGGTGAAGGGTTTAAACCCTTCTCTACTTGCTGGACAAAGCACTTACACTTGTGTGGCTTGTAGCCTGTGGCTCAGCTTACAGGTCTGAAATAAGTGTCACAGAGATACATATTTCCTCAGAAGATTTTATTTCTGCCTTTGCTCTCTCTCCCAGGGAGGAAGATGAGTATTCAGAGCTGCGGTCAGAGCTCAGCCAAAGCCAGCATGAGGTTAACGAAGACTCACGCAGCATGGACCAGAATTCTGTTTCAGTACCAGAGAATCAGTCCACCATGGTCACCGTGGACGTGGGTGAGTTATGCTTCTTAGTAGACACCATGCTTTCTCACAGCAGAAAGGCATCATAGCCTTTGAAATGCAAATCCAAACGTTTGGTGAGGAAATAAATTAACCTAGGCTGTGTTAGTCACAACAAATGCTGATCTTCTCCACGACTATGAACTTGAATGTGAAGTAACCTCTGCCTTGATGTAGAATAGCTATGGAGTCTAAAATGGAATGACTGTTCAGGGGAGCTCATGACTTTTGGTGAAGAAGAGGGGAGGAAAAAGCGATTCACATACCTTACATGTGCCTGTAAAGTAGTCTAAGCCTAGAAAAGGATTGCAGACAGAGTAAAAGCTAGGGGAAGAAGCGTGGGGCATGGAACTGTCTGTCCAGTTCTTTTACAGCCTAACTGTAAAGGATGTGCTTTTTGAAAATTGTGAGCCTTTTTAAAGTATGGGATAGGGATTTAGACAAGGATAAATCTGACACCGGACGTTCAAATACAGTGCAAGGAGGGAGCACCTCCAGACAGTCCGTAACTGGTTTTTTCTGGTTAGGAACTAAGAGGGCAAGCATCTTTCCTTCAGAATTTAATCTATTTTGTCATCCAAGCACAATTACTGATCAATTGAAGGACATCTAAGGATGGAATAATTACTCCATAAAGTTTGCAATATAAGCATGAGCAGATACTAGGCCTTCAGTATGATAACGTTTTCTTTGCGCGCAATTGCTGAGCACCGTAGCTGTAGACTAGCAGAAGTCTGGTGTAATCCTCACTGTAATTGATTTCCAGAATTCTCTTCAGAATACTATTTCTCTGAATGTATATTTAAAACCAACTAGTTGGTCTTCATTTTCTTCCCTAGGTAAACTAGCTGGGTGCCTGGGAGCTTCTGTCGGTGATACTGTACATGAGCAGTGGTTTAGGAAATAATTGAAATAGCAGTCTTCAGCCCTGTTGCAGAACTTGTGATCTTTAAATATTAAGCTGTTAACTCTGCATGAGGTTTTGAGGTTATAGTGCAACATGCGATATTTGCTTGCATACGTAAGAAACCATATTAAAACAGTTTCTACTTGTTTGGAACAGTGTATTTCATTATTGAGAACTTTTTGCTGTTTTTTCCAGCACAGTGCCTTTTAGAAGAATGGACCTGAGAGTAGGCTGGCTTTTGGGCATAGTATTCATTACCCTCAAGTGGAGTATAATAATGTAGAAAACATGTTGATATAGTAAGCAACCATATAAAAGAGAGCACATTTGTATTTCAGTGTCTTTAATTTCTAGAACAACATTAATAATAATGTAATCATGAAGTGTCTAACATAAGGAATTGAAAGTATACTTGACAAAATATTGTATAGAGTCAAGATATTTTTGTAGAAGTTTATATTCTTAAAAAATGAATGTTTTTACTTTGTAAAGTTAATGCTTATTAAGTTTTTACTTGAATAGATTCTAACATCAGGACTTTTTTCCTTTAATTTTCTTTCCTTTTTTTCCCCCTTTGACAAAAAACTCAAGCTAGTTTACTTTTCAGAATTTATTTTTGGGTTAGGGCTTTGGTTTTGTTAGGGATTTGGTTTTGTTCTTCATGGGGTGGAGCTGAAGCAGGGTTTCTGTACTTTAACAGCAAGTTATCCATTTAAGTTTCTGCTAACAGTGGGAAACGTGGCGATAATATGAAATACAGCCACAAACAAAATAAGAATGTTAACTCTAGGGATTCTTGCATTTTTTCCCATGTTTTCCTTCTATACACAGACTCTCTCCTTTTTGGGTTTTGTTTCCATATTCCTGTGAAAATAAGTACACACACACACACACACACACATATATATACATAAATATGTATATATTTTTTATCTTTCTAGATATAGGTATATAAGAATAAAAAATCATGACCTAATAACCATGTGCATGACTTTATTTACTGCTCTAATGGAATGAGCATCAGTGACTTATAAAAATGGTAATACGTCATGATATAACAATGCATGTGGATATGCTGTTCTGTTGCTACAGGCAATAAAACACCAAGAGCTAAAACTATGAACGCTCTCCAGTATGTCTTCCAGAGATGGTGATCGAGTTGTATTGGTTTTGTGTGAGAAATGGTGTTCTCATTATTGTAAACCATTATTTTCTGGGAAAAAATGTTGTGGGAAAAAACCTCAGCATACAAGGTCTTGTGAAAGATGTTTAAATGGACAAAGTGTCTGGTATAGAAGATGTTATGGAAACAAGTAAATTCGAGCAAACAAAATGGGGATTTTTACAATTAAGCATCCTGCATGGTAAATGCTGCTCACAAGTGGGTGTTATTGTAAAGGAATTTTTGGTATTACTACAACAGATGGGTGGCTGCTAGTCAGGAACTAGTGAGTATGACTGCAAGAGTAAAGATTAGAGTGTGTTGCCCATTCGCATTTTTCATACGATACTGTGACATCATTCTAAACTCTTCTTTTTGTTCAGCAATAGGTTCACGTGCATTAGGCTGTGGAGTTACGCTTGTGGTAATGAGTTCACGGTGTTTTACTTTCTGATCATCTCATCCCTTCATCCAACGGCTTTCAGTCTTCTCTTGCACTGAGAGATTTGAAGGCAGCCTACAATAATCTGGTGTCTCCTGTCTGTTGAATTTCAGGCCCAGTTCAATGCCACACGGCTCTAGTCCCCTGTAAGAACCACAGCTATGAGGCTACTAGGGAATTCTGACCATGGTGAAATGCTTGCAGCAGTACTATAGAAGTAACACCCCCCAGCAAGAATGCCTGACGCTGTTTTCAGTCAGGCATAGGAGCTGCCAGTACACTGCTGTCTCATAGTGCACCGCTTGTGTGCTCTACAGTTGGTGGTTACTGCAAACTCTTAACTAGTAAGCCAAAAATACTAATTAGCACACCCGAGAGATGGCACGAGGCTGAATTCTACCACGTGTCTGCCTTGGGAACTGCCACTGTCTGTCGCCAGATGTGAGCCTAAGAAAAAGGAAAATAATTTATGAAGCGAGCTAGCAAGGAACTGAGACCCACTTGTTTTCATGAAAATGGAGGATGCTGTGGCAGTGCCCAAGGCACTAGAAGAGCTTTGCCTAAAGACAGAAAAGGAAGCAATCATCTGCTGCATTTTGTAATTAAAATAGCGTTGTTGTTTATGCTGCTAAGATGGTTGTAGTCTGGAACATAGCAAAGACAAGGTGTGCTGTTATGATCCCTGAATATTCTGCAGTTGCATTTGAAGAAACAGCTATAAAAATGAAACATAGGCTCTAAGATAGTCGGTAGGGATCATTTCTGTATAAACACCAGGATTTTTTAAATTGGGCAGTGCTTAAGTACAACCACAAAAATTCCTCTGAAAAATGTCAGGTCATAATGTCAGTGAATGTACCAGGCAGAAAAAATGTTGAACTTGCAGAGAAAAACCTTTGAGGATAATAAAATCAGGATAATGGGCCCTGAACGGCAAAAAGAATAACAAAAAAAGAATTGGCATAGTATATGAATATGTGGTGTCTTGAAATGTTATCCTTCAGAAAAGAGAGGTTTCTGAAGAAAGAATGACCACTTCAGATAAGTGTGGGGAGTGTTATTTGTCAGATGGGAGGTCACTCATGGTTTCAGTTGGCATGGTTATGGCATTTAAGCCTATCAGTTGGCAGGGAAAAAGTGGCCGATTGCGAGGACTTCCCTTGAGCAGTATCAGTCCCAGCTGCTCTGCAGCAGGCACTTCCTGGGCTAGAGTTTGTTTTTTCACTAAGTCACTAATTGTTGCGCTATTTGTTTTGTTTTGCTTTCTTTTAGATAACTGTAGTGACTTGAATTCAGAACTGCAAAGAGTGCTGACGGGTCTGGAAAATGTTGTCTGTGGGAGGAAGAAAAGCAGCTGCAGTTTGTCGGTGGCAGAAGTGGATCGGCACATTGAACAACTCACTACTGCCAGCGAACATTGTGATTTAGCCATTAAGGTAATGGTAACATTAGGTTCTAAATGCAGCCCGTACATTGCCTGAGACATCTGATCCCATTCTGTAGTAACAGCACTTTGCTTCCAAAGGTGTCAAAGTACTTTACAGAAATCAGCTCCGGCTCAGGGTGTGTGTTGGGTAAGCAGCAGTACACCTTTTCTACACTGAATTCTCTCCAACTACAGGAGGAGCTACTAACAGACTTTTGATCTCAAATCAGAAATGTATTTGTCTTGCGCTCATTCCAGCGATAACGGGAATGGGGACACTCAGTAGTTAATTTACTTCCTGAAGGTTATCCAGCAAAAAAGTTGTTGCTTGCCCAAGGTTACACAGCTTGTCATTGACCGGTAACTGAAAGCACGATAGGTAATACTTGCTGAAATTTGAAGATAAAATACCATAAACTATGCGTAAGTTGTGGCTTTGCTGTCTTAAAATATGAAGCTCGTATTGAACACAAAGCATGTGTGATATATTAATTTTAATTACACAAGCTAGGCACAGGAACAAATAATTCGGCTGATACTTGTATAACTTAGTTTTGTTGTGCATGTAACAGAAGGAGAGGGCTACTTGGCAGCACAT